TGACAAATTGATATATAAATTACCTGTTCAATTATGTAATTATTCATTATTTTAAATTAATAATATTAAAACAAATTAATATTATTAATTGCTATCATAATCTGTCATTTCACTTTCGGGTAATTTCGTTGAGGCATTGCTACACATATCATCTATTAAATCTTCTTCATCAACAAAATTATCTTGAAATCTTAATAATTCCTCGTCTGTTGCCCTTCTTTTCAATACCTTATAAAGTTTATGTATCCAAGAATTAGTATGAAAATTATAATTACCTCTACGATAAAATCCACCACATCTACATAGTCTCATTAGCATATTATTATATTATATTAAATTAGAATATCTTTATTCATCATTTGTAATTTGAAATGCCTGTTCAAAACGGAGAAAAAACATGTCATTCACATTCTTAGCATTCATATTCACATAGAAGAAACTATAAGGTGCGTCATTCACTGCTTGATGATACATATCTAATAATTGCTGTTTGTCAACAATGGCGCTATTTTCTTCAATAAAACTCATTGATTCACTGGCATTTTTCAACCTAAAAATATATAATGAACTGGCATTTAAACGAATGATAGGCGCCAAAACATTGTATTTTTGTGTTGAACAAATTACGCTTACTGCATCGTGCCTACCTCTTGTAAATAATCCGTGTAATAATTTACTATATCTCACAAATTTAGGATCGTCGGCATGATCGTCTATAACGATTAATATTGAATGTAGTTTCTTTATCTTTTTAGATTTCATATAATTAATTATTTTCTTCTGTCTTTCAATTACATTTTCTAAATCACTTGGATTATAGTTATCAAAATAAATTTGTTCTTTTTCATCATCCACGTGCAATTCATCCCTGATATATTTTTTAACTTCTGTAAAGGTTGGGTCATTATGAACGCTGGGGGAAAACATAAATATTCTTGCAAATGAATTTCTATAAACGTTTAAGATAAGGTTCTGAACCAAGACTGTTTTGCCACCTGTCGAACTCGCAACTATAATACTTCTAAATGGTAATTTTGGCACGTGCTCATATTTAGATTTTTTGAATTCATATTCAGTTATGTTTATTGGCTTTATTATTGGAACATCTGACATAATAAAATAATATTAAAGTTATTTAGAAAATATTTTATATTTATTATTTTATATGAATAGAAGCTATTCAGATTATATTGATATAATAGATGAAGTAGAGAATATAGAACAAGTTGTTATAACTGATAATAGATGTAAAAAAATATGTTATTTTATTTTAGAATTAATTAAGTTTGTGATACAATATATTAAAAATATAAATATTAATATAGATGGGGAGAAAGAAAAAGAATAAGACTGAACCAGTTGTTTCTTCAACTGATGAAGAAATTGTTAAAGAAACATCAGTTATTGAGTTTGCTTGTCCAATGTGTAAAAAAATCTTAGAAATGAAAAATGAATTAGAAATACAAAAGAAAGGACACTGTAAATGTTCGTGTATTCCAGCCAGTTTCAAAATAAGTAAAAATGATAAGAAATGAATATTGATAAAACTAAAGACAGTATCAACTTAGAAACAGATGTTCATAATATTGCTATACGCTTTGGGAGGGGAGTTACTCCATCCGATAATGGTGATAAGGAAACTCAGGAAACTATTAAACAAATGATGAAAAATTAGTGTTTAAAGAGTAGATTTAACATAATTTAAACATTTAGTTTTAAAAGTTTTATTTTATAATATAATATATATAGTTACATGGATGAAGGATTAGAAAAGATGGTTAAAAAACTGAACAAGGTTTTAGAACAGAATAAGAATATTTTAGAAATCTTACAAGAAATGGAAAAGAAGAAACCATTAACAAACAGTTATCAAAGCAAAGAAGTAGATAGAACCAATGGGGAATATAAAAATAAAAGAAATATTTATTTAAACAAACTTAATAACAAAGAAATTAAAGAACCGAAGGCTTCAACTATGACATTTTATCAAATTGACTATGATGAAGATACAGGGATTTATTCTTGATTGAAAACATTTTTCTCTGAAAATCCGTTTAAAGACATATTGGTATAACTAATATTATGAGTTCTACAGATGACGAAGAAGAAACAGGATGCACAATGGTTTATCATTGCAGTAAATGCGACGAAGCAAAGCCAAGAAAGGATTTTCACAAAATGTATGATAGAATTAAAATGGAAGATATATTTTACAAAACATGTAAGGAATGCAAAGACAAAGTAAAAGCAACAAAAGAGTTAAGGAAGGAACAGAAGAAACGAATACAACCCATGGAAATACATAGATTAAAGCCTTTGATACCATAGTTTTACTATACTTATAACATGTAAGATCTTATATGTTGTAATTATAGTGGTAAAAATATTTCTATAAATTATTATTTCTCTGAAAATGTATTTAAAGAAATATTACCTATATATGTATATTAGGACAATGAGCGATACAGAAAGTGATACAGAAAGTGTGTATAGTGAATATAGTGATGCAGACAGTGAATATAGTAAATATAGTAACACAGTCCGTGAAGATATTGATGCTAAAAATATGTTCAGAGAAAAGTTTATGAGTTATAAATGTAGAGACTGTGAGATGCTAAAATTACCAATTAAACAAGGTTTTTTGAATGGTGTTTGTGATAATATTTGTCAATGTGTGATATGTGATAATTGCAATAAAATTATAAACGAAATTGATGATGTGAATAGCAAATATATTAATACTAGAAATGTTCAAAATATTGATGAAGATTTAGAAATATTTGTGTTTATTAAAATGAATAAGTTCTTGACTGAAGAAGAGTTTGGAAATTTATTATATAAGGGCGATGAGGAAGGAAATGATAATGATTTTATTTTTAAGTATTATAATCTGGTAAAAAGATTATATGGTATGTCTTTTAATATTAGGCGTTTAATGAAAGAAGCATTGAATGATAATGACTTTGATTTTTTAAGTTGTGAGTATAAAGCTCACGAACTTAGATATACGGTAATAAGTGCAATTAGAACAATGGGCTTGTTTAAAAAGGAAATAGGAAATAATATATATAATGAAAAAACGACTGAGAAAATAATAAAAATAATTGAAGAATAATTTTATAATGAATTAGAATAAAGTTGAACTCATAATATAATTATAACATGTAAACATTTATATGTTATAATTATACTGTACTTTTCCCGTATAAGCCGTGGGGGTGCTTTCCTACAAGGCCTTTCCCATCCGCATTTTGCCATCCAATGTCACACAGATTGTTTTCAAGATTTGGGTTAACGGTTTTAATTCTCCCTTTTCCATTGGTTAACCTTTTTTCGGGGCGAACGTAGGGTTCTTTTTTAGACTGCTTTGTATTTGTTGGAAATGGGAAAGGGTCTCAGGTTGGATCAAGGGAGGAATTATTGAGATCTTGGGGTTGCGATCTTGGGAATGAAAAAATGTTGGTACGTAGCTTGGATTTTTTTGTGGGATTTGTTGAGGTGGTATGTAGTTATGATTGTTGTTATTGAATGAGTGTAAGGGTGATGTTGAGATGGGGTAAGAAATGAAGATGGGTATGTGAATATGTGTTTTTGGAGTTGGATTGGTTGGGTGATTGAATTTGAATGTTGAAAATAGGTTGTTTTAGTGGGTGTATTCAGAATGTGCCCAAAAGTGTGGGGGGGACCCTAGGACCGGATGGCAAAATGCGGACGGGAGAGGCCACCACTAACTGTTTGGGGGGGGGTCTCCCAAAGCGATTTTTTTTCCATGGGATAGAGGTACGTCTTGGTTTTTTTTAATGGATTTTCCAAAAATGGTGGTGATCCTTTTGGTTTCCCTTCAGAGCCGCGGAAAGAAGAAAGAAGGCACCCCTCCAACAAGTCATACCCATAGATGAAATATGAAGCAGAATCTGAAAGTAGTTCTGTTTTTGTGTCCCAGATGGACCAGGTTTGGGTTTATCAAAATGGCGGCACCACCAAGATGTGTAGTTTCCTTTTGGTTCCCTTTATCTCTAGCGGACATTGGGATGCTCTGCCTGGAAATCCTGCGAAAACTAAGAGTAAAGCAACTGTTGTTCGAACGGTTCCTATAGACATGGTCCCCACGTCCCTTGGTGGAAGATTAGCGAACGCTGTCCTTTGGTCTTCTTTCCCCAGCGAGTTCTTGCCTTGTGCCGGGGTCTTCGGAGCAACCCTGAAACAGGAGCCAATATTCCAACAGCTCCTAGGCGTTTTTCAGCAGGTGCCTGGATCCCCAAAGGTAGAAAGGGAAAGCGCGAACCATCATTGAAAGCTTACATAACCCATTTTCATGGGTGGTTTGAGGGTTCGGGTCGACATGTTGCAACTGGATGTTGGGAGCCTCGCAGAACGCGTTGACTTGGCCAAATGTTGGTGGCCTCTTGTTGTGCTGCTTTCCTTTGTCTAGCTTTTCCAGTAGTGCCCTTTTACCAACTTTTTGAGGGGAGGTTTTAAACTAGATTACAGAAACAAGTTGGTACCCTTATTATTCTAACCTCTCTACTGCAGGACCTAGTTGTAGTTCAACCCTTTCGTGGGGAAGCCCAGCTGTTTTACTCGCATGCGCGATTTTTTTAATGCCAGCTCACTGCCATGTCGGTCCAGCAGGTCTGATGAAGGGAATCGCCCCCCCTCCCCAGTGCTGCTTGATTGCTGTTGGATTTTGGACATGGGAAAAAGAAGAGCAGTTGTTGGGTGCTGGTGAAGCAGGTGTTTCGCTACCACGTTGGAACTGTCAATGTGCTTGTCCTGTTCCAAGTGGTGGGCGACAAAGTCATACACATTCTCTATTGGGCAGACTAGTTTTTTCCAAAACAGGAGGGGTGCCTGTCTCCATATAATTGGACCCATCTCCACGAAAAGTTGTTTTTTTGAGTATACCATGTTTTGTGCTTTTAAAGGGAAACCAAAAGGAAAGCCACCGTTTTGGCGGGTCCAACCTTAACACGCATATACACAAAAAGCGGTGTCTGCAGGCCCAACAAGCTCATCGATGGGTTCTGCACCTTGGCGCTGAATTAGAATGGACCCTCAAACTACCCGACAACACATGGGCATTGGGGCATTGGGGTGATTGCTCCTGGTTTTGACAGGGGGGGGGTAGTGTTTTAATGGGGAGCACATTTTGATGGGTAGTGGGAATCCCAGATTAATATCCTGCTGTTTGATTTGGGGGCTGTCCCCTTTTAGTTGGAATCCTTCACTTTGGTGGGTGACACCCGGCAGAACATGGGACGGGGTCAACATTACTTCCTTTTTACTTTTGGGTTGAAGCCACCATTTAGAGGGTTATGTTGAGTGGAATGGTGATTTCGAGAGATGGGTATGTGTCAAACAGGGGAAACGCCCCAAAACTGGAAGGTTGCTATGAAAAGGAGGTCTGTGCACTTTCATGTTTGGTGAGGGTGGCTATCTTTGGCCTTTGGAAAGCCGGCTTGGTTCAGAGGGATGTATGATTTGCATGTCGCCCAAGCTCCATATGAGTGACATTTACCTTTTTTCGCCACCCAGCTGTGGCGTCATGTGGTGGAAAACCTGGAACACCCTTGGTGGTCTTCCATGTGGGTATGTATTTTGTGAGGGCCTTTTGGATTGTTAAACGGCAACCTTCAAGGCCTTGGCCAAGTTGCTCGCCTCGCCTCGCTTCTCAGGTCCGGACGGGCACCTCAAAAAGACCAACCGCTACCGGCTCTCGCTGACTTGCAACGGCCTGGACTTGAGGGCCTTTCCCTTCGACACCCAAATCCTCCCCATTCGCCTCAAGGCGCCGGTTTTCGCGTCGTCGCGCCACGCCGGACGACGGAGCGACGGAGCGACGGGCGACGCGGGGTTCGGAGAAGCCGTCGAGTCGTAGTCCCCTGGAGTTTCGCATTTTGTTTCATTTGTTTTTGTGGGAGACGAGCATGTGTGGAGTCAACCCGCGAGAACTCGAGTTGGGTTGGAGGGAGAACTCGGCCGACTTGGTTTCTCGTTCCTCTAGAAAAGGGATCGCAAATCGCTTTTTCCGATGGTACTCGTTCAGCAGTTTGCAACCTGATTTCTTGACTGCTATTGGGTTGGATCTTTAGACTTTAACTTTTTGGGGAAAATGAGTTTTCTACTAAACCCGCCCTTGCAGCAACACCCCCGTACCCCCAGTGAACATTCCAATCCCCACTAAAACAGGTTCAAAGAATGGGTGGTGAAGTCACCCATCCCCCAATTTTTGGAGATCCCAAACCTGTTTTGACCACAGCCATATGCTCATCTCCCCTTTGCTTCAGCCGCGAATCCCTCCGCCTCTCCGCGCGTTTTTTCGCCGCGAGGCGCGGAACCGGAGCCAGACCGAGGACGGGGATGTGATCCTGGTGGGCCCGGAAGGCGGGCGAGACGGCCGCCGGCCCGGAATGCGCGGGGAGCCGCGCGGAATTTTTCCTTCCCCGCCCCAGGAGGCTCCCGAGTGAGTTGGGGCCCTCAAACCGCCAGGCTTTGAGACCGGCTCCCAACCTCCGGGGTGGGCAATGGAGGGGTCGGGGTTTCCATTGAAAGGTCCAGGAGCCTTCGGGCCGGGTCTTTTTGGGAGGGTTTCTTTTAGCAGATTCTGCCCCTTCCCTCCCCAAAAAAGGAAGATCCAATGTTTGCGCCCAAAACGGTGAGTTTCCTTTTGGCTTCCCTTCCAAACACCCGAAAAAAGGGTACAGACCTCCAAGAATTCGCCATTTGGGGTCCAAATTTCCATTTTGCGACGCACACAGAATCAAATTGTGCTCACCATGTTCCATCGGGAAGAAGATTCTGCCGAATCAAATCGCTCGGATGCCTTCTGGACCGCTCCAGAACGAATGTTCGAGCAGTCGAAAGTACTACGTAGCGGGACATGCCCCGCAGTGAAACCATGTGGGTGTGTGTTTTTGAGCGTACCTGTTTCACCTCAGCTTAAGGGAAACCAAAGGAAAGCCACCATTCCTAGTGTCCTCAGATGTTGGCACACATCCATGTTGCAACAAAGGTTTATGCGTTGATCATGCTTGATCTGTGTTGGGAATTGCCGGGGACCCTCCAATATAGTCAAATTACGAATCGAATCCCATCTGCATGTTGGTCAACCTTCTGCCTATCTTGCTCAAGGCCATTTTACCTGGACCCTCAAAGTACCCCAAAACGGGTTGCCCCCAATCCTATGGGGTGATTTCCCTTTTGCGCAGTTTTAGGGTCCAGGTACTTCGCCCAGCCCTTTGGGCAGACCAATACTTCAGCAGAGGTCAGAGCACCGGGGAGTGGAGTCTGGGCCCAGCGATGCTGGACTGAACCGGCTTTTTGGGTGCTGACCCCGGTGATTGTACGCAAAAACCAAGGGATGGGCATGGACGGCCTCGTCTGGTTGTTTTTTTTTGTTCCCCAGACCCTCGATTTAAGACCCCTGGGTCGACATTCGCGAAGCCGATCCCTGGGAGGCTTGAACGGCCACGGCCTCAGTTCAGGGTTCTGGGCTGGGGGTCTCCAATCCCAAGCTGAAACGAAGAAGAAGTCTGGAGTGAAACCTACCTGTACCCACAACAATATCCCAAGTCACGTGAAGCAAGAGCGATGTTTGGATTCAAGCCTACTACTCATAAAACCAAGCTGTTGCCCCAACACCTAGGCACCACTCTTCTGGCATGCCATTCTGCAACTCTCACGGGTCCCGTCCCCACGTCTTTGTCCCTGGCTTGTGTAGGACTTCTTGCGGGGGGGGGGGGGTTGTGGCAGCCTACGACATGGATTGCTTGCTGGAGTTGAGTTTGGAAGATGGGAACCGGTTCCGAGCTCGGTTTCAAGCTACACCATGTGGGGTCTCGATGCATGCGGTCAAGCAGATCGGTCCATAGGAAGCCCCTGACCTTAAGGAGCCCTGAAGACAAGCCGATGGTGCCATCGAGATGTGGGGGGGGGGGGGGGGTTGGCAAAATGCAGAAAATGCGCGGCGGTTCTTCGACTTCATTTCAGGAAGTTGGCGAAGCAGAGAAATAAACGTTGTTTTTTCAGCTTGCTGAAAGGCCAGTTTGCGCCCTTGCCGCAGGTGCGGGATCCATCTCACGTTGAGCGAACAAACAAAGAGTCAATTTGTAAGCAAAAGAAGGTAGACAACAAAGCGAGACAAGCAAAACAAGACAATCAACAGCAAACAACTTGAAGCAACCAAATCCGACAAGAGCAAAAACAACGAAACCGACCGACACCAAGCAAGCAGCAAACACGTAGATCAACGAGGACATCGAAGCGCATGTTTGCTCGGCCGAGGGGAACACAAGAAGCAGGGCTTGCGGCGCATGGGCCACACGGTGAAGATGCAGGCGCGAGCGAGCAAAACTGAGCACGGCTCAACTGGCTACGTCCCCCTGTAGTGCCCTTTCTCACCCCTTTTTTGGTTGGGAGGGTTCCCCTACTAAAATAGATAAAACAGAAAAAATCGGGTAATTACCCTTATTCTGACCTCTCTACTGGAGGACCTAGCTGAAGAGTACTCCCCTGCGAGTCTCACGGGTAAATGGGAAACCACCTAACCACCAAACCGATCCAAACCACCAATTAGAGTGAATCTGATTTCAGTGGTAAACTCAAAGTTTTTAGATTCTTTGGTGCCCATCCACTTGATCTTGCAAGTGAGGTACTCCCATACTGACCTGGCCCTGCACTCCCTCAGCTGGTTGGGAGGGAGCCGGACACGCTGGGAGCATCCAAATTTGCTTTTGAAGAGGGAGTCTTTCGGAGCTACAAGGAGCTACTGGAAGAAACCTTCATCAGAGGAATCCCTTCGAGGAAGTTGCTTTCGGAGCTGTTTGGGTTCCATATGGCTCAAAATAAAACAGCTGGTTAATTGTTACGCAGGTCTTGGTCTTTGTTTCTCTCCAAGGGGCCCAAAAACGGGTACCACCTTTTTCAGCCACAGCCCTATGAGTTTGTGGAGCATCGAAGGTCAGAGCCCTGCGTAGCCTCTTTCACGTCAACTTCCCGCTCCTCAGGGTTCCCTCAAGGGTCGTGTCTCTTCCGATGTGATCTCATCCCTCGGAGGCGCGAACACGGCGCGAACACGGCGGTTTTAAGCCACACCATGTAGAAAGGCTGGCGGTTGAAACTGGTTTCTTGTGAAGGGAATAGCGTCTGTTTTTTTTTGCGGATACCCCCCTTTCTGGCGGATTTAAAGGGAAACTGCAAGGAAAACCACCATTTTGGGGGGTCTCCTATGTTAAGTCACCCACATTGATGTTTTGAACGCGGCTTTCAGACAGATGCTGTTGCCTCAACGCTGCTTCCCCCCCCCCCCTCCCCCCCCCTCTGCAGGCAGATCGACTGGCGGACTTCAAGATCCAGCCGGGAGCTCCGGAAGGGGCGGGATGATTTCTCCCGTGGTAGGCGTAGTGCTCACCGTAGGTTGGGAAATGACCCTTGTGTTCATTTCAGGTTCCATGCCATGTTTTTGATGGCAAGTGGACGAATGTACATGCAATTGATGTCCGCCAAAGAGTCCCCAATTCCGTGAGAGCATATTTCGCCAGCGGAAACCACAAGGGAATAGATGATCTCAACAACATGGACAAGCTTTAGACCCTCTGTTGATGGGGTCAGTCTTTTCCGTTCGCTTGGTGATGTTGCTGTCTTTTTTCTTCAGCATGGGCATGTGCGTTTGTTTTTCCCGCGGCGTTCCCCGAGATGGTTGGGGCCCCACGAGTCCACCTTTTCGTACTTTGGGTCTGTCGTTTTTGGAGTTGGAACCTCCTTTTTTTGGTGGTTCAGGGAAACCAACAGGAACACCAGAGCAAAAGCAGGACCCCTAAAAGACAGGCCCATGTGTTCCTCCTCTTTCTAGGGAATGAGAACTGGAACGAACCTGGTCCCTCCAAGGAAAGAGCCGGCACCGGGGTCAGACTCCATTTCTCCTGCCTATCTCTCGCACCGATCGCCGTTGATCCCTCCAGGATCCCCACTTTCGGCCGTCCCAGGTCTCTGATGGGTCTCCGCACGGAGACCCCGGACCGATGGTACGAGGTGCGCATCATTGTGGAGCGCAGTCCAGGCCGGGTGGCCGGGTGGCCGGGTGGCCGGGTGGCCTGGGTGGCCGGGTGGCCTGGGTGGCCTGGGTGCTGATGTGAATTTTTGGATTCCAGAGGACTCTCGGTGGTTTGTTGTCCTTGGCAGCTCCTTTCGGTCCAAATCGTGTTTCACGAGTTTCAGCAGCTTGGTGTTTGGTGCCATGAGTCAAGGAAAGCGTGCAAACCCTGCTCCCATCCCATCCCACCCCCGTATGTGTCAGTAGAGTCTTGGCCGTTGATTGCTCAGATTGGTCGACGTAGTTTCGCTTGCTGTCCTTACTGGAGCTCAAATGCATTGCAGTTGCGTACTCACGGTTGACCTAGATGATTGACACACGGGCAGGCGAGTAGGGTTGGTTTGGGGCAACATGAGTCGAACACTACGCTCGTTTGAACTATCCACACGCAAATAAAGTCACATCCTTGACCCTCAAAGTACCCTTGAACATGAGATATTGCTCAACATCTGCGGCCAGCATCCCACATTTTTCAGTTTGAGGCTCCAGTCGAATTCGTAGATCTCTTCGGGGCAAATCTCACTCAACAGGTTTTTGATATATATTTTTCAGCGCACCAATACTAGGTCCCCCTGTAGTGCCCTTTCACCTTCCCCGTCTAAAATAGACAAAAAGCAAAACAATCGGGTACCCTTATTTTAACCTCTCAAATCTGGAGGACCTAGAATACCTCAGGGTGCCGGATGCCCGATTGTTTTTCTTTTTCGTCGAAACGGAGGCCACGCCATCCGCAACGTGGCGATGCCGTGCCTGGTGATCTTGACCTTCTCCTTCACCATCTACGCCATCCCCATGTCCGAGCTGGGCTCCAGGCAAGGAGAGAACCTGGACAGCCCAAAAAAAAACATGGCTGTGGGTCAAAACCGTGTACTGGTGAACATGAACATAGGTGGCAAATGGATGTTCATCCACCCCAAAATGGAGGCATAGGTTATGCCCCATGGCCACATGGACTGCTCTGGCAGAAATCAAAATCCCATGGATGGGGTTCAATGGGCCCCGGCGTTTGTTACGTCTACGATTAGTTTGTTCAATGGTGTGTTATTATTTTTTGGTTGGTATGGTTGCCTTTTTGCTGGATGAAAGGTAATCCACGACATGACCTGTCCCAAAATCCCCTGGTTGCTTTGTATTTCCGCAACCCCAAGGGTGATCAACTGCTTGGAAAATCGCCTTGGTGCTACGGTGCTACCCTCTTTCTAACAACACATTGCTTTGCTGACAGGAAGGGTTTGGAAGACTGTCCTTAAAAGATTGGAACCAAACAATGGGGTGTCAGAGAAAGCTAAACCAGTTTGGATGGCTCGTCTTTTTTAGACTTGGACCCCAAGTAGTGTGGTTTGTAGCCTTTGGTTTTCTCTGAAAAACCACAAAAAAGGTGCCTGGACCCTTATTAAACTGCCCGACTTTTCAAAATGGGCTACTGCCACCCAAAACCAGGGGGTGATGATGTCCCTTCTTTTCATGGGTAGTTGGAGGGTCCAGGTACCTTAAAAGAAAAGGTTGCTGCGTCCAGGTTGGAGAACACCGCGACTTGCCTGCTGGCGATGATGGCCTTTCAGGCACGTCTCCAGTCATGACTTTGGTGGCGCACGGATGTCCCTCCGGGACACACCCGTGTGTGTGTGTGGTCAAAATCGAGGGACCCCCAAAATGGCAATTGTCCTTTGTGGTTTCCCTTTTTAAAAGTCAGGAAAACCAACTGTTCGTTTGTGCAATTGAACCCACGTGAAACAGGGTGTGGTGTTTGATGGGAACCCAAAAAGAGACCCACTCTATTTGGGGGTCCTCACATCAAAAAAGGAAGTGTTCCGCAAATGCACTACGAATTTGGGTTTGGGAACCCACTCCTATGTAGAACAAGCTAGACAAGACATTTTGAAGACGCCATACCTTGAAATCCGAAACACATCGACAGAACTTTATCTGCCCTGGCACACACCCACTTTTATATAGTTTTATGCTTCCCCCCCCAATGCAGTGGATCTACCTTTTTGCTGTTTATATATATATATATATATACACATTTTGAGACAAGCCCAACTCTGTTTTTTTCTCGTGTTCTCAGAACGACGTTTCCCGTTCCGCAGGGCGTGGTCAATGACATGCTGCCGCCCGTCTCATACGAGACGGCCCTGGGTAGGTGCGGACCGGGTTGGGTTTTGAGTGCACCGTTGTTTTTTTGTTTTAACATATATATATATATATATATATGCAACCCCCCCCCCATGGACCCTGGTTTTACTGCCTTTTGGGGATGGCAAATCTAGAATTTCCAAATTTGTATTCTCGAAATTTCCAATTGTGGGTCCCCAAAGCGTGATAATTTGGAGCCCCGAGTCCTCCACAATGTCCCAGTATGATACTCTTTGCACATAAGATGTTACTTCAACTAGAATTGGAATTTTGAATATAGTTTAGTATGGATATAGTTTTCAAAAACCTGTTTATGTTCAACTACAGCTTAAACAAGCAAATCCTTTCCAAATAGCAGCTACATGAAAATGTAAATATATATTTTCGGCTAAACTCCAACTAATCTATAACACAAGAAGTTAGATGGAAGTGTTTTCCCAAATATAATCCAAGTGGTAAGTATAATCTAAGACGAACACAACTCAATTTGCTTTTGATAATATCAAGTGAATAGAGACTACATCTCAAATATAATTCATATTAAATATGGCTAAACATTTGGAAATTAAAAATGGGATTTGTGTTGTTTACATTCTGTCCCTTTTGTAGCATAAGAAAGGTCCGACATTGAACTTGTTAGACGGTGTTCCAAAGGGAAATTTCAAGGGAAGAGAGGTTCAAAATCTAAAACTATCTCGAAACAGGGATTCTAGCTAAACCGTTGTATTTAAAGTTCTATTTGCGCAGGAAAGTTAATTCTATGTCAAAAGGTGGAGGTAGTAGATGAGCAAATGTGGACAGGTAGTTGAAGAGGGTGGGGGACAGTGTGTGAACGTACATACATATGTATATCTATATATACACATACATACACACATATATAGTACCCCCAATGATCCTGCGCCTCCTCATAAAATACTGGAAAATGCAGTATTTTTGAGCGTTGCACCTGCCTTTGTTTACCTCCTAGAAAGGGGTCAACATGAGCATAGCTGACATGAAGCTCACCAAAAGCACTTGAAAGTTTGTCTAACCAATAACTTGAAAGTGTGTCCACTGGATCGCTAAGCACTTGAAAAATTGCTACTATCGGATGGAAGATTCAATATTGAAGATTACACAGAACACTTTCCTGAGAATTGTCAATCCTGGCCAAACCCAAATAGCATTCAAGTTCTTCTAACACTTGAAAGTGCTTTACCACTGGATTGGGGATCAATATTGAGGAGCCCACAAACCACCACTTTCCTGAGAATCATCCATCCTGGTCAACCCCTAAAATGTTCAAGTTGTTCTATCACCTCGAACATCCGTTACCACTGGATTGAACTATTTCACGGAAAACTTTTCCGAGAATCTTATTGAACACCGAGAGTATTGGGACAACCCTGGAATTTTTAAAACTTTTTAAAAATTATGGGATTCAAGATTCAACATTCAAGATTCCCAGAAAATATATTCTCACATTCTTGAATCTTGAATCTTGAATCCCATAATTTTTAATAATTTTTAAAAAATGTCTGAGTTGTTCTTGTATTCTTGGATGCATTCAAACTCTTTCAGATTGCAGGTGCTGATGTCATTGCTTTTATCACATCAGTATGCATGCATGCGTATCATATACATGTACGACCCTCCCCCCAATTTTGACACAAATCCAAGAAGCAAAAAGAAGCATAAAACACTGGAAAATACAGGTCAACCGCACCAAACCAGGGTCCATGGGGGGGGGGGGGGTACCATATATATATATATATACATTCAAGCAATAGTGTGAGCAACGGGCAACATGGCTGTATCATAGTATGGTGTTTTGAGGGTACCCATTTCGGGGTCACTTCAAAAATTGAAGCCCAAGGGAAACCACCCGGTTTTTTTTGGGGGGGGGGGCTGTACTGGTGGCCCCGGTCTTGATAGTCAAAGGGATGACGTTGGGTCTCGCCAGACTACCTTTACGAACGAGGGGTTGCTCACCAAATTACCCAGTAGTGCCCTTTCTCACCCCTTGTTTGGGTGAGGGTTCCCCAATTAGAATATACGGACAAAAGGGGTATCCTTATATATTCTATCCTCTCTACTGGAGGACCTGGCCAAATTCCCATGTCAAAGGGGGGGGCACAATTAATGTTGACTGTGGCTCATGTGAACGGCAGCTACATCCAGGCCTCACCCGCCCCTTGGCTACTTCCATTGGAAAAAGGGGATCCCCTTGACAGTTCATGTGCATGGCATGGTTTCCCGTGTAAGGCAATGAGGGTTGCAAGCCCCATGGGCCAAATGACTGCGGATCAAGCTGCGTTTGAATCCGAGGACTTGATCGAAGGCATTGATTGACGGACCTTGGCACACCAAATCAAATGTGGCTAAGTCATCCAAATTGCTTCTCCCACTGATCTCTACTTGGGTGTTTGATTCGCCAAGTTGGTAAGTTGTTGGCAACCGCTTGGTTCCAACCCTTTAAAAGTCCCTCGTTCAGTGGGGTTAGCCGTGTTATAAGGGCGTTATACACAAAAGTGGGTGACCACGTGCGAACTTGGCTGAACATCCAAGAGGATGATGGGGGATGCTGCTGCTCAGTCAGAAGGACCACCAATCCTTGCCTCAATAGCTGCTGCTATCCTCAGAGCTGTTGGTGCCCTTAGAGGCTTTCAGCTTGCTGGTGCCTTGGATGGCAGCCTGTCGCCTGTCACTTGCAAATCCGGTGCTGCAGCTGGTCCGGATAGTCCTACCTTTCTGAAGCCCTACCTTTCTGTGGGTAAGATAGGGGACACAAAGTGACGGAAGTGTGTCATCTACGCTGTAAACAGCCGTTACGCGTTCGGCCTTGGAGAAGATGCCGATTCGTGCAACGTGACCATTGGGTAGGTTAATCATTAGGCACCTAGCGGAACCTGGCAGGGCCGCAATGGAACGCTCACAAGCAAGTACTTTAACACCCTAGCACATCGTTTGTTGGCGTGTCACAGCTCAAAATCGGTTTGCAACGTGCAATCGACAAGTATAGGGCAGGTCCATGTCTTTGCGTCTATGTTTGGTAAACCATATTTGATCAATTACTCAAGTAGCAAGCAAACTGCAGGATCTCTTAGGTTTCCTCGAGCTTGTTTAGCTTTCATCTCTTGCCGTTTTCTATGCCTCCCGCCTCAAGAACCGGCATGGCAAGCGCTACGCCGAGCGCGCGCGCGCGCCAGGTATGTGACCGCTGTGTACATCATTCTGATGCGTGGGCCCTGGGCACTTCCTGAGTGATGAGTCAACCAATCCAAGCAACTGGCGACTTGATGGATTTGGTTGGCTTCCTTGGTTTGGTTTGGATCATGTCCAGCAGCTGGCGACCTGGTGTGGTTTGTTTGGTTGGTTTGGCCAGCTAACCAACCAACCGCACAGCCAACCAAACAACTAGGATATTGGCCCAGCTACTGTCCTTCAGACATTGATTGCCACAACACCTACAACTTTCTTGAGGCGCATGCCTTGCCACAAGTTTTGCGGATTTTATCATTGGTGGAGATACCTGGCTGCCTAGCAGATCATGAAGATGGTTTTGCTTAGAGCGATGCCAGGGTGAGCTTGGCAATCAACATTTTATGCTAGGCAGCCCAAGGACAGCAAGCATTGCCTGGTTTGTCGTTGGCAGAAATTGATTGATCCTTTGTTTGAAATGGGTGTATCTGCGATTCAAGCCCTACAGTAGTTCAGGAAGCAAGCACCTGAATACAATGAAGCATGGGACCCGCACGTGGTTTGTATGTTGTTCGTTGCCTTGAAAGCAGCGCCGACCTCGTTTACCCTCGGGTTGAGTCATCAAGCTCGGGCTGCATGTTTGGGAGGAGTCGGGCCCAGCTGGTGTTTTGTTTTTGTTTTCTTCTCTTTTTTCTCATTTGCTTCAGAATATGAGTTTAGCTTCCATTGGTAGGGAATCTATCACTGCAGTTTTCGTCCAGGGGGCTTACGCAAATGGAGGCTTTTGTTGAGGTTTGTTTGGGTCCCACATCGCGGCTGCCATTGAACCACTGCTTCCCTAGCTGCAGCTTTCTGCCTCTTTTTTTGGCACGGCTCAAACGCAACCGGGTCCTAGCAACTTGAAGCAAGGACTCTCCAGAACTTGCATAGCGCTTAGCTAAGCACGACATCTGAGGGTTGTTCACAAACGGGCTACCGGGGTCCAATATTAGGCTCTTCCTTTCCAACCCTCATTTGGCTGTTTGTTGTTGGCTGATGTTACCTCATTTTTTTTGATTTTTTTGGATTGCTTTAAAGGACAACCAAAAGAACAGCCACGCAGGCGTTCCCTTTGATGACATCACCCTCAAACTAGGCAAAAAAACAACAACAACCCCGACTTCAAGCTTGAGGGTCCTGGCATACCGCAGGGTTTATTCCATTTCGTTTTTTGCAACCTCCAAAAGTCGCGATCGGTTCAAGGGAAACCACCAGTAAGTTGATACACCATTTCACTACCATGTTTTGATCGTGATTCATTTATGACTCATTTGCTGATGGTACCCGTTTGAAGGGGAAATCCAACGACACCTGTAATGTGGACCCATGATTATTAAACCCGTCCCATAGGGGGGTGTTCCCTCCAAAAGTGATGAATCCCCACTAAAAGGGAGCCACCCCCCATTAATCAACCAGGGGTTCTATTTAGATCCGGGG